GGGCAACATGGATAGCATCTTCAAAAGCGGGCCTAAGATCGGTTTCTCACCTGCATTTGAGCGGGAGTGCTTCGTGCCGGATCTGACCAGGCACCGTGGCTCTTGGGCCTCGCTAGCGCGTCCATCAGCGCACGAGCCATCGCGGCTCTTCATGGGTCAGAGCGAGGAATTGTCTTGACAACAAATGGCAGCCCAACACGAGATCAGCAAGAATGGTAAATCCATGACGGTCACGCGGCAATGTCGCTTGGCCACCCGTTCATCCATGACGTCGCTTGCACCTCGGCAGCACTTGCCCGTCGCGCCACAACGACGACAACGCACCACCAGGAGTGCGCGCGCGCCCCGCCCATGGCCCGCTTCATCGTGGCGCGTCTGTGAGAAAAAAAAAAAATGAAGTCAACAGCAAAGGGAAGGATATAGAGGCAAGAGGTTAATGCAGCAAAGCTTCAATTAATTGAAGCTGATCATGGCCATTCCAAGTAAAAAGATGCAGTCTATTCAGCAGTTATTGAAGATACAAAAGATGATGACATTCTGACATTCGGTTCTGTGTTCTGATTCTCAAAAGGGCTTCCTGTGTGTGTTTAGCGAAAGCTGTCGAGGGGGCCGACTTGGGCTTCCGCCGCACTGGGAAGCAGGATCCTCGCACTTTCAAACACAAATTCCACAAGACGCCAATGCCCATCCCCTGGAAATGGACAAGGACCGGACGAGTACAGCCACTTGACAAACAAGTCGCGCGTTTTTATATCCTTCAATGTCCTTTCCCTCAAGTTGTAGCCCATCCGGTGGGCCAGGTCGCGCAGCCCCGGATTACAGTCCGAATAAAGGAGGAGACAGCTCAGGCCCGAATCCAGTCCTTGAGACTGCCTGCAACGGTGATTCCATGTATCCCATCCACGAATCTTCCTTGGCATTCCACAAGCGTAGCAACAGGCTCTGTCGGGGTATGCGAGGTGCACTGAACATTCACTTGTCTCGTGTCCTCCGAAGTGACACCGCTCACAAACACGATTGCATACGCATTGATGCCCAGCCTTCAGGACGGGTTTCGCCTGTCGAATGGTACATCGCATGCAGTAATCATCCATCAACTTCAGAACGCCAATAAACTTGTCAGCCGCCGCGTTGTTCATCAGATTTTTTTTTTTGTCCCCGATTTCGACCGAAATATTGGGGCGACGTTGTGCCGATTCGGTGGCGTAGCCGCAGCAGATACCGGGGCTTCAGAGCGAGTGATAGCAGTAGCGGCAACGGTAGCGGTGCGCGTGCCACTCGATGCTGCTCGTTTTGCTGCGGGAAGAGGCGACTCCGCTGCTTGCGCCGCTGTTGAAGAAGCAACAGCTGTGCACGTGACATCCGATGCCGTTCGCTTGGATGTTGAGGCAGCAGGGCTGGTAGCGATGCCGTTGCCATCGTCATGATTGTCAGACCCAGGGGTACATGTACTTTCAGCAGCCAGCGGCACTCGCTTACGCCGCAGTGTACCCGAGGCTGAGCTTGCAGCCGATCGCGCCGGAGACGAGGTTGAACCCGAGGCCGATGGTACTGGCACGCAAATGATCGAGGCCGACGGGGTTGGCGCGTGTTTCGTGGGGGTTGGCTGTGCTGCTGACTGCACGACTGGCTGTGACGTGCTCTCGCCCTCTGCCATCGTGGTTTGCGCCGGGCCACGCGCGTCTTGCTGTAAAGGCGCCTCGCCATCAGCATCAGAGACCATGGGTGAAGCTGGCACCGACATGGGTGCTGTATCTGCCTCATCAATCCAAGCAGCACTCGTCTGTATCCGTGGCACAGCAGCGTCCGTCATTGGCCCTCCATTTGTCGCCACCACAGCCGTGTCCTGGGCACGTGGAGTGCTTCTGCTCGACTGCGCTGCAACGGCACCTGGTCCTGGGGACGCGACTGTGTCAACGTTCGATGCTGAAGTTACATCCAAAGCGGACTCTGGCCCGATCGATTCTTCTTCCTCGAGCCGTGCTGCAGGTGGCTCAGACAACACATCTTCCTCCTCCGCCATCGCCTCGGGCTCTGCTTCCACATGCCCCACACTCAACGCTTGGGCAGCGCGCTGCTGGCGCGCAGCTATTGCTGGCTCCAGGCGCTGTGCTGTTCCTGCGCACACGTCACAAAGCGACTGGCCGGCAGCAAAGCATGTCGCGGCGCGGGGATCTAGCAACTTGCCGAGCGCCCAGCTGCGGCACGCATTGCCCTCGACAAACTTTTCCATGCCCGGTGCTGGCCCACGTCTCACTGGTAGCCACAGCTCGGCAGTTCCTCCCTGTTTATCGCGACCAGCCCGACCAAATGCCTAGCCCAAGCACATGTACACCATCAGCAAAACCAACAATTGAATTTTTTTTTTTGTTTTCAACTCCATACAGTCACACGACTGTTTGAGCAACAACGTACCTGGGCCAGCGTATAGACGTTGTAGCCGTTGCCATACCACAGCACGTGGCGAATGGTGAGCAGATCCACACCCGTGCTGAGGCAGCTGGTGGCCACAATGACGTCGCATTCACCCCGTTGCCACTGTGCCACGTGGTCCTTTTGCGCCTTCTCCTCCAGGTCGGTGTAGTAGGGCAAGGCCATGTAGCCGCGTGCGTGCAGCTGGTCACACAGCAGCTTCACCTCGTTCACAGTGTCGCAAAAGACCATCATGTGCACACGCTCCCCATTCGCCTGACGCATCACCCGCTGCGTGTCCACAGTGTCTTGCACATGCGACAAAAAGTTCAGCTGATTTCCGTGAAGCACACGCAGCTGCAGATCGCGACGCATCGTCTCCAGACGGTACACCTTGCCCCCGACTTGCTGACCCAGCTTTCGAAACAGATGCTCCTGGTCCCCGATGCAAAGTGTGCCCGTCAACGCCACGCGTTTGATGTTGGTCCATCCGCCAGAGCCAACACTGGCTGCGACTTCGTCCATCACATCTCGGTAGCTGGCATCTGAGATGAGTGTGTGCGCCTCGTCCATCACCACGGTGCGGATGCGCTGAAAGCAGACCTTCCCATGTAGGGATTCAGATCCCACGCGGACAAACATGTCGGTCGTAACGATGAGCACGTCCAGGCCATCTGCCACCTGTGTAGAGGGACCAAGCCATCGCTGGGCACTGTGACCTGCGCCTTGAAATCGCCGCAATAAATCGTTGGCCACGGCCACAAACGGCACAATCCACAGCACCGTACCGGCATGCGGGCGACAGCCCAGCTTGGGCAGGGTACAAAATGTTTTGCCCATGCCTGTCGGTGCAACAACAATCAGCCATCCATCCTCCGGCTGGTGCTGGTCAATAGCCGCAGCCAGGTCCAACTGTTCTTGGCTGTTGAAACTGTGGCCCCACGAGATGCTCGCCTGCTTGGCCAGCTGGGTCATGTAGGGTACGTCATGCTCGGCCCTCGTGTTCATGATGATACGCCCGTTTGCCTCGGGTGAGAGGTCAGTCACCGGGTTCCAGCTGATGGGATAGCGAGCTTTCAATGCTTCTTGGTTCGCGGTCAACTCGGCTATGCTGCGCTTGCGATCTAGTCCAAACAAAGCATGCCATTTTTGCGAGGCCACTTGATGCATCAATCGCGACGACATTTTGGTTTGCACATGGTCACTGGCTGTGCGTGCATAGGCCCGCTGGGCGGTGTCCCCAGAGTGTTGAGCTTGAGTGTGGATCAGGCTGCCCAGGGCGCCGGTCGTCTCGGCCGACAGTCGGTTAATCACAAACGTCGTCATCCAGAAGGTTGCGGCGTGTCGCCACGTGGCCACCCCCAGCTTTGGCCGATGCAGGTACGTGGTCATTTGTCGACGAAATGTCGCATATATGGTGGCTGGGCTGACCATCGTCTGCAGGGGCGCAATGTTGAAGAGCAGGTGGCTGTTGTTGTAGTGGTTTCGAGCGTCCCGGACCTCGCGTCGCAAAGTCATCGTCTCGTCGTGGCTCATGTGGTCTTCATCCAGCTCGTCGTCGAGGAAATCTTCGTCGTCCTGCTCGGCATTGTGAATGCCGTTCTCGTCGTCGGGGGTGTCCAGCCCGCCCCGCTTTTGCAGCCAGCTGCTCAGCATGTGCTCCAGAGGCTTGCACAGCAGTAAATACATGAATATCAGCCCCCTTTTCATTATCTAGATCATCATTGTTCCTCACGTCCTCTTTCTTCCTGATCTGTTATTGCTTCTCTCATGGATCGCAGGCGTGCTGATTTCCTGGTCTACGTATCGAAAGGTGTGCTGTTCGTTCAGGGACAGCCAGTAGGTCTTGCTCACGCGGGTCAATATGGAGAGCTGCTTCTCGGCAAAAAAACGCGGCTCGTTGCCGGCCCACGCCGTTTTTGTAGGACAGCCCTTGATACACAGAGGCTCGTGGCGGCAGACCTAGTCAAAGGCAAGCAGGCATGAGTGGCAGGAACAAAAAAAAAAAAAAAAAAAAAAAAAAAAAAAGCCAAGAGACGGCTTGATTCAATCGTACCTCCGGCAATGTGCGTGTAGGTGAGTGCTAGCTCGTTGAACCTGCGCACATATCGGAGCCATACCCGTACCCTGTCCTCTCGAAAGGTCAGCTCGCCACTGGACCCATGCTCCGTTCGGATAAACTCTTGCCGCAGACTCGGGGTCTGGCCAATGTGATCAAACAGCGCGTTCTCGGCTGGACTGCCATGGCCCACCCACCAGTTCTTGACCCTGTTGGTCCGATCCTCCTTCAATCGCAGCCGCTCATTTTCGTTCTCGTACTTCGTCCGCAGGCCTGAGACCAACAAGAGGTGCTTGTCCAATGTTTCCGTCATGTCTTTGCGCATCTGCTCCAAGGCAGCCCCAAGCTCCTCCACATTGAGCTCAATGCCTCGACAGACAATGGTGTGCAGCGTCTCGTCCGTCACGTCGCCATCGGCTCGGACCTCGACGTCGACTCCAGCCTGCCCCTCGGCCATGCTCGCTGTTCGTGCCATGCTCATGCGCTGGCTCAAGAAATGCACCAATCGCCCGGGCTGCATATACGGCCTCAACTCGTTGGCCACTGACCACGACTCATTCTTGCCACGGCGAAGCAGGAACAATTTGAAAACGTACAGCAGTCCAGCGGGCGTCGTGGTCCACTGCCTGATGTCTTGCAGGATGCCGCTTCCTTTGGACACGGCCGTGCACAATAGGAAGACGTTGACAAAGTGCACCTTGTCGTTGTCAAAGAGGCTCAGCTCCACCTCCACCAGGGCCAGCCACAGAGACGTCAGGGGCTCGACCAGCTCTTTCTTGGTCATTCCAGCGTCCAGAGCCGCACTCAGAGCCGCGGTGGCATTGATTACCGCAGGGCCACGGCTGGCAAGCACCTGGCCCAGAAAGCTGGACGGATCGGGGGCTGGCATGGCCTCCAGCAGCAGCAAAAATTGGACCAGGCGTGTTCCAAGACTCAGGTACCTGCTGACGGTTTGCGGCTGTACTTGCCGCATGGGGCGATGCTGATACTGCCCTTCATTGTCGTCAAACAGACGCGTCACCGCAGCGGCGGCCAGGCCCTGATCCGAGAGCTGCTCGTAGGCCGTCCAGAACAGCTCATGCATGCCCGACTCGAGGAGTGCCGACGGGGTGTTGTGGCCCAGTTCGACCATGCGCTCTGACTTCAGCTCGTTAATGACCAGCGTCATGCCCACGCTGTCGTAGAACGGATGCATCTGGTGAACGCCGTGCGGGCATCGCTTATCCTCAGCCTCTGAGGCCATGGCCTGGGTGCTTGAGATAAAGTGCTTGAACCGCTGCTGCTCCTCGAGCTCCTGCTCGTTTTCGCTTACATCGGCTGCCGAAGCATCGTGGCTCTCTTCGACAATGACCTCGACACAACGAACTCCAGCTCCACGCAACGGCTTTTGCAGCTTGACAAGTCGTGGCGACTGCTAGGCCCCTGGTTCATCTGGATGCTCTGCCATAACGTGATTTTTGAGACTGCCGCTCGAGGTAAAGCATGCTTGACATAAGGGGCAACCCACACCGTCAAGAATAGGAATGCCTTCTACAGGCAAACAAGGTCCTGATTCTGGCCCGAGGTTAATTGGCGGCTCCTCAGGCTGCAGGGAGCGCAGGAGTGCCGTGGCTGCGTCGATATCTTCTTGGCTACACCTTACATGGTGCTTGTTGAGGATGTGATGGAGTACCCTGCCGCTCAGGACATGGCCACAATGCGTACAGACCAGTGATGCAACAGCAGGGCTCACCAAGCAACCAATGCCCTCCATGAACTGCCGAGCCCCAGCAATGCCTAGGCCTCGGTCAAGCCTGACTACGCGCTTTCTCGTGCGCGTTCGAGCGGGTTTTTGGCGAGCAGGCGGATGGTTGTTGATCACTGCCGGCATGGGTGGTGCCCGCTCCTCATGTTGGTGTCGAAGGTGAGACTTGAGAGTGACCGCACGTTTGTGGCGGTAGTGGCACCCTGCCACTCGGCAATGAAAAAAGCCGTCATTCTCCCGGTGTCGAACGATCACTTCTCCGTTCAACCTGATCCGTGTTCTCTTCTGGTGCACCTACATGTTCACGAATGATGATGAGGTGATGAGGTGTTTTTTTTTTTTTTTTCGGAGAACAATCAGACAGATTCATGATGCACGCCACGCACCAAAGAAACATGTTGATCTCTTGCAACACGACTGTGGAAGGTGATATTGCAGTGCAAGCAAACGCTCTCTTGCGCCCTTGACATGGCTGGGTGTGTTGAATGACGATAGCTCGAAGCGTTGGCGGGCCGAGTGAACAGAGGATACGAGCAAGGCGAGAATGGATTGAAAGAGGATGGATTGACGTGTGGAAAAAGACAAAACATGATGTCACACTTGAGTTCTGCTTGCAGGCCGTGGCATTCCCGGGGGATAGATTTGTTAACATGTAAGTTTCTCATTCGACAGCTCAAGCCTAAAAGGGGGCAGAACAAAACACATGTATGACATTTGCCTCTGCATAGCGTTAGGCTCAGCTTCCCGTGAGCTTGGCATAGCTCCTCCCAGGCCTCGGGCAATGCCTCGGCTGGCGGCGGCGCACTCGCATCCACGCATCGCGCGCACTGCCCTAGCGTCTCCACGCGATGAATCGTGTCATTGGTTCCCGCTCTTGCCACGGCACCCAGGGCATCAATCAAGGCCAGCACCAAGCGCTTGAGGTTGCTGTTGGCGCTGGTGAGCAGCTCTTGACGTTTGGGTTCCACGCCGCTCAGAACGATGACTTTGCTCAGGGCCGCCGCTAGGTCGGAGGGTGGCGTTTTGGGCGCAATCACTGGCGTGGTGGGTGGAGCGGGGCATGCTGCCAAAAAGGTCTGAAGCTCAAGAAAAGCTGGTTGCAGCTCAAATCCAGTCGTGGCACCATGCAGCTCTTGCAGTATTGATTCTAGGTTGTCAGTGTTGGGGTCCAATTGCTTCAAGCGGTTGCTCAACGCTTTGGGCGCTGCCAGTGCCTGGTCGAGTGCGTTGAGAACCTGGGTAATGGTCGCCTGAAAGGTAGCCCAGTCCATGGCGGGACAATCTGGTCGAGCTTCATCGATGGTTTTGCGGATTGAAGCAACTGCCGTTCCAAGATTGGGGTCTTGTTTGGCAGCACCGTTGATAAATGCATCGAGGTGAGAGAGGGGATGGGTGGTGGTGTGCGCGGGCAGGAGCGGCTTGAGCCACCTGTCCACTGCCACCACAACAGAGGCCGTGGTCTAAATAAGGGTTGCGTGGTGCCATTGGTCGTGATCAGGTTGGATAAGGCCGTGGGGATTGGGGTAGTAACTGCATTGGGAAAATAAGATGGGAGAGCAGGCTGACCTCGAGGGTGGGGGTGGTGGGCAGAGACGGCAGCCAGGCTGAAGGCGGTGCCGGCGTGGGCGGAGCGAGGGATGCGGGTGGTTGTGACAGGCAAGCCTCGTGAGCAGCAAACACGGGCTCCAGCTCGTCGCCATGTCCGTTGCGACGTCCGCATTCGAGGGGCGTTTCGCCACTCTGAGAACATGTGATTGGAGCGTGTAAGGTGGGCAGCGACGCGAGGGCTGAGTTGGGCGACGTGCATTTGTTTTCTCAGAACACAGGCGAAAATTCTTTTGAGTGTGCCGAAGCCGCCAGACGCGCGAGTGGTGTACAAATGGTACGGGCAGGTAGCAGGGGTTCGAAAGGAGGCGCGTTTGGAGAGGGGAAGAAAAAAAAAAAAGAAAGGGAAAGCTCAGTGTGATGGGTAAAACTGAAGAAACGACCACCAAAAGCCGCTGAAGCGAGCGAGAGAGGCAGAGGCGCAACGGCAAAGGGTGGAGTGGTGCCTGGATAGAGTAGAAAAGGGGAGAGCAAGGACGGCAGACGGAAGACACCAGCGGGGCGCAGGGTCGGGGCGCGGGGAGCACCGACAACGGGCGGACGCAAAACGGGGGAAAAGAGGGATAGCGGGAAAGAAAAAAGGAGCCAGGGGGAAGAACGGACGCGCACGGGTGGGCAGGGTGTAGAGGAGAGGAGGGACGGGGCAAAGGCGACGAGCAACGGGAGCAAGAGCAGCAGTCAGAGGGGTAACGAGAAGGGGGAGGTACTGTACCGACGTTGGCCTTGGCGTCAGAATCAACACCGTGCTTCAACAACATCTTTACCACCGTGGGATGACCGTGAATGCAGGCCCAGTGCAGTGGTGTCCAGCCATCCTGTGGGATGATGCAAACATGCAGTATATGTCCCATGTTATACCATAACGTCACCCTACTCAGTGACATATTCAAAGTGTAGCCAATACCACACAACTGCATACCAAACAGCAGACGTACATCCATGGATGTACATGTTTGCATCGGGCAGCACGTCGTCAAGCGACTCACCTTTGGCCAACAGTTCTCGGTGACAGTTGCGGCCCGGTGTATTTGTTTGCCCAAGCGTACGCTGATGACTGCGAGGCGAGATCAGTGGTTTCACACCACGGAAAAAAATGGCAGCGATGCTCTCAATCAAGCGATCTGGCGTCGCCGCAAGGCCACGACCAGGAGAGTCCCGTACCAAGCACAAGCAGTCAGCCACCACGCACACAAGCAAGGCACGTCGAGCAACCCGCCGATGCCGAGAATGATACCAACGCCAAAGAGAGGGGAAGAAGAAGAAGAAGAGCAAGAGGAAGAAGAGTCAAAGGAAAAATGTAAAGAACACAGACACACACACACACACACACACACACACAGACACACACACACACACACACACACACTTTTTCACAAAGTCTTTTTTTTTGTTTTCATCATCAAAGTCTAAAACACAACAGCAAAAGTTTCCAAAGCGCTGCAAAACCGGACTGTCCCTTTGCTTGCCATGATAGCTCGCCTGTTACGAGCAGCTTCCAGAGCACCGCAAATCCGGGGCTTGTGCGTACAACGTGTACTGCCTCGTTGCCAGCCATGGTATTACACGCCCGGTGGCTGACTGCCGGATGCGAGCGACCATTCCTGACGGCTAGCGAGCCAACTTTAAGCTCATCGGCAACGCAAAGGGAACGAGCAGCATCATTCACCTTTTTTCTCGCCTCCAATAACCGCCACGGCGAGGAGTCTTTCACCCCTTTTGTAATCGGAAAGCCCGACCGGCGAGTCTGCCAGAAGCAAAAAGGAAGATCAGATGAAAATTCAATGTTGATAGCTGCTGAGGTCCCCCTCGATCAGCGTTCGGCTGTGACGCATCCTTCACGTCACGGGCCACATGACGCATCTGAATACAGTATTGGCCGAGACGGCACGGGAAGATCAGCTGTCATTCCCATTGGCCCTTGGAGTGGAATGAAGGGCTCGTGTTTCATCTGGCGATGAATGGGTCCAAGTGTTTGGTTCATCTTCGCGAAAGCTGGTTCGAGATCATTATAGTATATTAAGGTTGTTTGTAGTCAAATTCAGGCATGAGGGAAAAAAAAAACACCCGAGCAATTGTGTGCAATCAGGCCCGAGTAGCGGTGCGTCATCAACAAGAGCCGCACGTTCCGGTGGTGATGTCTTGACAGGCGCCGAGAGAATTTAGTTCAAGGGGAACGCTCCAAAGGTCAAGGTGAGGGTTGGAGCAAACACGCACGGCTCCATTAACAGAGTCCAGGCTAGCTAGACCGCTGACGCTGGTCAAATGATCATTGGCCTAAAAGGAGGGCAGTTGGACCGGCAATGCGTGCAAATATAGTTAGCACATGCCAACCATCGGGTCAATACCACAACGCTATCGTACGTTCAAGTTGAGATCCCCACCGACTCGAACCAGACTGCTCAGTCCATCCACGTTGGTCAAGCCAGTGTTAAACTGCGTGGGTCATCATCAGCCAATTGCAACAATGCGCCAAAAAAAAAAAAAGAGGCACTATGGTTGCAAGCAGGGTCACAAGCACAATTTTCGTACGTTCAAGTCGAAGTTACCAGCAACGCCAGCCAAACTGCCAAGTCCATCCACGTTTGTTATTGAATCGTTCTCCTACGCAAGGAGTCATGATACAATAGTTGTGATAGTCGCAGGGCAAGCAATGTCATGAGTTGGCGTACCGTAATGGTGAGGTGCCCGGGCACGCTAGTAACGCTTCGCAGACCATCGACTTGACTCAAAGCAGTGTTGCCCTGTAAGCAAAAAAACAACGTCATGGTCTTGATAAAAAACGTGTTTGTCAACCGAGGCCAAGTACTGAGCCAAATAATTCTTCGGACCAAACGCACAATCAAGCTGAGGTGACTAGCAATATAATTGATACTAGCCAAGCCATCCACATTGGTGATCTGGGCATTGTTCTGCGAAAAAATTTAAAGAAGAAAAGATAACGTTGAAACCAGAGTGAGTATGATTGAAGGGGTGATGCCCATCCAAAGAGCGTCCCGGCTTTATCCTTGCAAAGCTCGGAATGATGCGTCTGACGTACGGAGACATAAACATGGCCTGGAATAGACTTGAGACCACTCAAGCCATCAATGTCGGTCAGCTGCACATTTTCCTGTCACACAGACCCATTATTGTGGTTGAGAACATGCGGGCATGACCTTGCACACGGCTCTGCTGTAAAATAGGTGTGTGTCGGCATACAGAAATTGTCAAGGAGCCGCCGATGTCGATCAGATGCCCCAGGCCATCCACGCTGGTCAAAGCAGCATTGTTCTGCCAAGGAGAAAAAAAATCAAAGTGTCAGTAAATAAACACGGAAACACAGAAACACAAGAAGAACGGTTGCGTCAGTCGGACGGCATCGACAGCACGTACGCCAATCGTCAGGCTATCACTGATGTAATAGAGGTTGCTCAGACCATCCACGTGGGTCAAAGCAGCATTGCCCTAGCGTCGAACAAGAGGGGCTCAGGGTGAAGCACCGTCCCAGACAGCATCGTGTATCATGGTCGCATTCAAGAGGTTGGGTTGGTGCCGAATTCGACGCACCGAAATGGATACAGACCCTTCAACCCGCTGGAGGTGGCTCAAGACCATCATCCCGGCCCCCGTGAACGCGTCCCCGCATTGGTCGAGCATCAGGTTCCCCTGGATCGTGGCAGTGGTGGGCGGGATTGCGGACAGGTCACAGCCCACGTTGCCCACATGGACATGGACGGGGACCGGTGAGGTGCTCGGAGACGCCGTGGTGGCTTGCTCCAGACGGGTGACCGCGGCTTGCAGCTCGGCCAGCGCGCTGAGAAAATCCAGCCCATTCAGCCATATGGCCTGCATCCCGCTCGAATTGAGATGAACGTTGCCCACAGAGTCGACCGTGATGGAATTTTCGGCCCCCGCATCCATCAGCGTAGAACAGGAAGCGGAAACAGGCGCCACCGAGGCGCTTGAGGCCGTGGAGGCCGTCTCGATCGCAGCACTCGACGCTAGGGCCTCTGTGGCTTGCTGGAGGAGCGTCAGCTCGTGCAGGACGTCCATCCCATTCAACAGAACGCCTCGGCCCGTGCTGCTGTTGAGGACGAGATGGCCACACTCATTCAGCGCAAAGCAAGCCTTGGCTGCCTCGACAGGCTCCTCGATAAGGGGAGCAGGCTCGATGATGTGGCCGCCCAGATGAACAATCGCCCGCCGCAGGGCGGTCAGGGCCCCAACGGCATCGACGCCGTTGAGCAAGACGCTGGCAGCCGTCTCGGTCGGACCGGTGTCGATGCGCAAGTTCCCAACGGCATCCAAGCGCATGGTCGGCCGTGCTCCCGTCCCGGCCAGCAGCATGGCCAGGGCCATGAGCACCAAGGACCGGCCCCACTGCTGCGACTGACAACTCTGGCGCCCCATCACCGCGATCGATCGATCACTCCCAAGAAGAGGAGCACTTCACAAATTTTCCACTATGTCGCATAAAAAAAAAAACATCCAGAGTCACGTCATGTTTGTGACTGCCTTCAAGCAAACGAGTCAACATGTCCTCCATTTTCCAATGTGTATGACATCTCTTTCGCCTTTTTGTTTATTTTTTTTGGCTCTGCCTCTCTGGCTCTCTCTGTCTCTGTCTCTGTCTCAGTCGACTCTCTATCTCTCTCTGTCTTTCTCTGTCTCTGTCCTCTGTCTCTGCCTCTCTGTCTTTGTCTCTCTCGACTCTCTATCTCTCTCTCTCGTCTCTCTCTCGTCTCTCTCTCTCTGTCTCTCTCTTTCTCTCTCTGTCTCTGTCTCTCTCTTCCTCTCTCTCTCTCCAACTAGCTCTCTCTCCATTGTCTCCATGCCCTTCTGGTGTCTTAGCGTTTGTCCACCTCCGCCTCCCCTGCCTCTCCGTCTCTCTTTGTTTCTCGATCGTTCATCTATGGCACGAATTTAGCCATTTTTTTAATGAACCACCTCTGGCTTCAAATCCGATCGTCAAAGACTTGCTCTGGGTGCGCACACAGCTATCATTGTCCAACTCCTTATTGTTGATCTGGTTGCATTCACGCATGCATACCTACAAACTCTCTCTGATGCGCAAGTTTGGCGGGATACGCGTCGGACCTCGCATGTCCTTAAATGCGTCACAACTTGCGAGTAGACTGCCTTGTGTGCCAAAAGCCCGTGGCTACCTCTTGCCACTTTTTTGCAGTTACACCTGCGGTTTGACACAAGTGTAAAATGTTCTTGTCCTCCGAATCAAACAACCCTAATGTGTGCGGGAGATACAGCAGCCTAGTCACCAAACCGCTTGAATTGACATTCACCACCATCAAATCTCCTGCTCCGTCCTAACGGTCTCTCGCTCACTTCCCAAGCGGCCCACCGCTCGCGCGCTTGGTTCAGATACAGACTAATCTCCACACTTTGTGGCTCAAACAAGTCCCACCACATGCTGCAAAGCATCAAGATCACGCCAAACGCGAGCTACAGCAGCAATTCAACAGGGACTGCATGTTCCGCCAATAACCTGGCAGGTGCCAAGCGACAGAACCGATGCAGGCACCGATAATAGGTCTAGTTGAGGATTCGAGCAAATTTGAACGTCGGCTCCGACGGATGTAAGACTTGCAAGCCCTTGCACATTGCTCAGGGCCGTATTAGACTACACGAGCCGGCAAATCGGGAAATGAGATGTTTACAACTACATATGAGGATGCACTCGGCCACACCCGCAAGATCAGCATGTTCCTTGAACCTCAGCCACGTACAAAGATGGCCAAGGAGCCACCAACGGCTGTGAGATTTCCAAGCCCATCCACATCGGTCAGGGCGCCAAGGTTCTGTCCAAGGTAGTAAGTAAGACGTGCACACCACCATCTCATATCACGCCCTCACATCATCGACGTTGCTCTCAGATCAGAACGTACATTGATGCTCAAGTAGTCACCAACGCTTGTGAGCCTTCCCAGCCCATCAAGATTGGTCAAGCTGGCATGGTACTGCACCAGCCGGCAAAAGCACAAGACGATTATACATTTTCACCCGTTGCGCCGATCATCACTCAACACTGTAACATCAGCACGCCAAGCCTTCGCGCAACATACATCAATCAACAAATAGCCACCGACGCTTTGGAGGTTCGAAAGCCCGTACACGTTGGTCAGGGCGTGGTTGCTCTGTCCGGTCAGCAGAAAGAACCGATGAGACGCCTGAAGGAACGTCATTATCCTGATCGGCTTTCCGTCCACCAGTCCACAGCACCGCCATGGCGCCAGCACGCGACAACGTACGTGGAAGAAGAGGTAACCAACGTTTGTGAGGCCCATGAGCCCATTCACATTGGATAAGGCGACGTTACCCTGCCCCGATCAGTAGAGCATCACATAAGACGTTTGAAAGTACACCTTCAAATAATGCGAACTGCTCTCGCGCAGACAAAACATTGGCATGACATGCTCGCAAACGACGACAAACCCAGATGACCAAGTCGCCAACAAAGCTTATAAGACTCCGAAGCCCATCCACATTGGTGAGCGCAACATTGTTCTTTACCAGCCAGCAATGTACCTCCGCATGAGACGCTCAGAAGTGCGCACCACCAGCCCAATTGGGTTGAGGGCTAGACCCGCGGCTTGCTCGGACAGAAACATACCCGCACGATCAAGTCACCTCCAACGCTGATGATATTCCCAAGCCCGTCAACATTGGACAGGGCAACATTGGTCTGATCAAGCCAGTGAAACACCAAATGTGACGGACAGGACCCAACCCTGCAACATCAGCATGAGACACCCTCAACAACGTACCTGGAGATACAAGCGACCACCAGTGCTCGTAACACTGCCAAGCCCGTCGACGTTGCTCAAAACGGCATTGGCCTGCCGAAAAACGTTTTACAGGGTGAGGACAAAATTAGAACGCCACCAAGGTTGCTGCCAGCACATACAGAAATCGCCAGGTCTAGGCCAATGGAGGAAATGCTGTTCAGACCGCGTAAGTTGGACAGGGCGGCATTGTTCTACGCAAATATGCCTTGTAAGAACAATCATTCTTCCAAAGGACACTTTGATTGCTTTGTTGCAAGGCAGGCTCTGTACCGTACGTAAAGATTAAGGTAACCCGGGATGGATCCAAGACCGCTCAACCCATCAACGTTGGTGAGTAACATGTTGCTCTGTCCCGTGGACCATTGGTGGTTGAGAAAAGCCGATCATGCATTTGGGGTTGAGTGCACGCAAACTTGCTGTAATCGTACCGAAATTGCCAAGAAGCTGCCAATGGCGCTGAGGTTTCTCAGACCATCCACGTTCAACAAGTTGTCATTGTTCTGCCAACGAAGGGATCAAACATGCAAAGAGAAGGAAGTAAGAACGTGTGGTGACAGCCATGGCGCCCAGGGGCAGATCAAAACGCGACAAAGGTACACACGTTGATCTGCAGGCCGCCGCCAATGATGTGGAGATTGTTCAAGCCATCCACGTTCAACAAGTTGTCATTGTTCTGCGAACAAAGGGATCAAACATGCCAAGAAGGAAGTAAGAACGGGTGACAGCGCCATGGTGCCCAGGGGCAGGGCAAACCGTCACAAAGGTACACACGTTAATCTGCAAGCTGCCGCTAATGTTGTGGAGATTGTTCAAGCCATATACATTGGTGAGCTGGGCATTGTTCTGCGAAAAACATAAAAATGATATTGATAATAATACCGTTGAAACCAGAGTGAGTATGATTGAAGGGGTGATACCCATCCAAAGAGCGTCCCGGCTTTTTCCTTGCAAAGCTCGGAATGATGCGTCTGACGTACGGAGAGATAAACATGGCCAGGAATAGACTTGAGACCACTCAAGCCATCAATGTCGGTCAGCTGCATATTTTCCTGTCACACAGACCCATTATTGTGGTTGAGAACATGCGGGCATGACCTTGCACGCCGCTTTGCTGTAAAATAGGTGTGTGTCGGCATACAGAAATTGTCAAGGAGCCGCCGATGTCGATCAGATGCCCCAAACCATCCACGCTGGTCAAAGCAGCATTGTTCTGCCAAGGAGAAAAAAAAATCAAAGTGTCAGTAAATAAACACGGAAACACAGAAACACAAGAAGAACGGTTGCGTCAGTTGGACGGCATCGACAGCACGTACGCCAATCGTCAGGCTATCACTGATGTAATAGAGGTTGCTCAGACCATCCACGTGGGTCAAAGCAGCATTGCCCTAGCGTCGAACAAGAGGGGCTCAGGGTGAAGCACCGTCCCAGACAGCATCGTGTATCATGGTCGCATTCAAGAGGTTGGGTTGGTGCCGAATTCGACGCACCGAAATGGATACAGACCCTTCAACCCGCTGGAGGTGGCTCAAGACCATCATCCCGGCCCCCGTGAACGCGTCCCCGCATTGGTCGAGCATCAGGTTCCCCTGGATGGTGGCAGTGGTGGGCGGGATTGCGGACAGGTCACAGCCCACGTTGCCCACATGGACATGGACGGGGACCGGTGAGGTGCTCGGAGACGCCGTGGTGGCTTGCTCCAGACGGGTGACCGCGGCTTGCAGCTCGGTCAGCGCGCTGAGAAAATCCAGCCCATTCAGCCATATGGCCTGCATCCCGCTCGAATTGAGATGAACGTTGCCCACAGAGTCGACCGTGATGGAATTTTCGGCCCTCGCATCCATCAGCTTAGAACAGGAAGCGGAAACAGGCGCCACCGAGGCGCTTGAGGCCGTGGAGGCCGTCTCGATCGCAGCACTCGACGCTAGGGCCTCTGTGGCTTGCTGGAGGAGCGTCAGCTCGTGCAGGACGTCCATCCCATTCAACAGAACGCCTCGGCCCGCGCTGCTGTTGAGGACGAGATGGCCACACTCATTCAGGGCAAAGCGAGCCTTGGCTGCCTCGACAGGCTCCTTGATAAGGGGAGCAGGCTCGATGATGTGGCCGCCCAGATTAGCAATCGCCCGCCGCAGGGTGGTCAGGGCCCCAACGGCATCGACGCCGTTGAGCAAGACGCTGGCAGCCGTCTCGGTCGGACCGGTGTCGATGCGCAAGTTCCCAACGGCATCCAAGCGCATGGTCGGCCGTGCTCCCGTCCCGGCCAGCAGCATGGCCAGGGCCATGAGCACCAAGGACCGGCCCCATTGCTGCGACTTGCAACTCTGGCGCCCCATCACCGCGATCGATCGATCACTCCCAAGAAGAGGAGCACGCCCACGCAAAAAAAATGAGCCACGCCATGTTCGCATGAAACACACCACTCACCAACACAACACACACACGCTGGTATTGAGCTAACCGTTGGGTATCCAATCACCCCCTGCTGCTCCTCTCATTGCCCACTTTTCCGACAACCATCCCCTCTGGCACTCCAGCCCCGTGCCACCGCCATCCCAATCTCCTCGTCCACGCCGCCATTTCCAGCCCATGTCCTCCTCCTACTGCTGGTTCCTTTGATTCCACTCCCTCATCCTATCTCACGCACACGCTCTCTCTCTCTCTCTTTCTCAAACCGACCAAACCAAACCAATTCATCTCTCTCTCTCTCTCTCTCTCTCTCTCTCTCTCTCTCTCTCTCTCAGTTTCTCTCTCTCTCAGTTTCTCTCTTCTCTCTCTCTCTCTTTTCGTCTCTCTCTCTCTCTCTCTTGTTTCTTTTGTTTCCTGTTGTCACATGTGGTAGTTAGTGTCATTGTGTATACCCTCTCCAATTGATCCCCCTTTACATGTGGTAGTTGTGTTATTACCTTTCTCTCCCTTTCTCTCCTCTCCCTTTCTCTCCTCTCTTCATCATCTCAGTTTCCAAGTTGTCAGACAAACTTCGACAAATGCACGCAAAAAAAAAAAAAAAAAAAAAAAAAAAAAGTGGGCGGTCCTGTTTGAGCGCTGGCCGATCCATGGCTTGGGATGTCAGGGGTGGACTTGGTCGACGACGAAGATTACTCCAAAGTGTTCGGTGATGGCATGGAGAGGGGTACGGCTTTTGCAGCTGCTGGCGGCGGTGTTGCTGATCGGTGGTATCAGGGCGCTGGTGCTGGATGGCCACTTGATTGTGGACGATTCAGGTCGACTGCATGTCAACTGCTCGAAACGTGTATTGGTTGATGGCGTTGACGTTGTGGCGCAGCTAGGCGCCCTGAAACAGAATGCCACGGCCGCCTTCTCTGATTGGACTACCCCCACGGCCATGACCTCGACCTCGACCCCGGCTGCCACCCCTGTGGCTGGTTCGAGTGTTGAGGATGTCACCGTTGGCGTCGATGATGGCGGTGGCTTGCACTTGAATGGCAGCACGGTTCTTTTCAATGGCATTGACGTCCGCGCCGAGTTGTTGCTGCTGCGAGCGCAAATAGAGCTTCTTGTCCCAGCGCTTACATCGTCGCCTCCCGGCGTCATGGCCAACTCTCCAACCGTTCAGGCCGAAATGACGCTGGACCCCCTTGGCAATGTCATTCTCAACAGCAGCAGATCCGGGAAAGTATCAGTCAATGGGTTGCCGCTGCTGGATGAGCTCGCGATCTTGCAGCAGGCTGTCGCTGCGCTGGCTGGCCGCACCACCAGCATCTTCACCTCCTCACCAGCTCCCACAACCACAAGTCTTGAGCCCGTGATCTCGCCCAATATAAGCTCGTGCAGCCTCAGCAATGTGCCTGCTGGCGTCACGGAAATAAGAGGCGATCTTATCCTGTCTGGTTGCAGTGCTCTGCTAGCGAGCGACCTGCTCGTACTTGTCGAGCTGCGCAACGTCACCGGAAACGTCCGGATAGAGGTCTGTCATCCGATCTCCCTTGATGCATGTCAAGGGAAGGAACTACGCATCCGCCATTCCCCTCCTCGCCCGTTGCTGCCCATCTTCATGGCACCCTTCCGCGGCTTGGTGTGGGTCTCAGAGAAACGGAGCCCTGGTTAATTTGAATGGCTTGGCCAGCCTGTCGGTTATTGGTGGCTACCTACACATTTCTGTGCGTCGAATCCCTTCCGGCATTGCAAAGGCCTTGCCGCCTCCCACCTGCCTCACGCCAAGATGTGCGATCAACTGTTCGGGGGCGCATGCCTGTCGCCAAAATAGAACAACTATCAGCTGACCAACATCAATGGGCTGGCAGCTTTGTCGTCCATTGGCAAACAACTCTATATCCTGGTGAGCCCTCCAACGCAACCCCCTGGGCAAACGACCTTGCAATGTGTGCTCATGGCTGCCGGGACCCGTGGTAGGCGAATGTCAAACTCACCAACCTGCATGGTCTGCAAGCCCTGACCCGCATTGGGGCTTTCTTGACGCTTGGCGTGAGGCCCCTTATGCGTGGGCTTTGCTTCCTGTGCTCGCCTCTCGCCCTGACATGATCTCACGATGGTGCGAGGTAGATGAATCACGTCCTGCAGGATCTCGCGGGGCTTGAACAACTCAAGCACGTCAATGAATACGTTCGCATAGAGGTGAGCCAGCAAGGACAAGCTTCTACAGCGTCGACCAAGCACTGTCATGACCCGACGTTTGGTCAATTCTAGAATCATGACAGTCTCAGCAATCTCAATGGATTCGCTGGCCTCACGCATATCGGCAACTACCTCCTCATCTACGTACGGCAAGAAAGTCGTTGATTCTGCTTTGCTTACTTTCATTTCTCTTTGCATGTTCAACGACGGGGGATAGGGTAGACGTGTGTATCACGAGGCAGCTTATTACAGCGACGTCGCTGCCCTCCCGCCTCATAGAATAACAAGGCGCTACAGCACCTTGATGGGCTGGGCAATCTCAAAGCCATTCAGACCGACTTGGATGTGAAGGTGGGCCTGTGCTGTCAAGTGCCAGGGTGGTAGAGAGGAACGCACTCACGATATGCCTGCGCTGTGTTCAGGACAATCCGGCGCTCACCTCGATCGCAGGCTTTGGTAACCTGACGATGATTGGCAGTTATCTCCACATTGGGGTTGGTGGATGCGACAACCTTTGAGACCTGCCCTCTGTTCAGATCACACTCTGACACAAAGGGCGCCGGCGCCGGTTTCCTCTGCACCTCCATTTACACATTTGCGCTTGCACGCCACAGAGCAACGACAATCTCACTGTCATCTCCGGGTTTGACAAACTGCCACAACTGGGCTCTGACATGAGTGTCCGTGTACGTGTCTCTCCGTTGATAAACCTTTTATTAGCCATGCCAGAATTTCTCAATCCGTCCTTTCCCCCTGCTGCAGCACAATGATCGGCTTAGCCTGCTAGCTGGTTTTGAAAGTCTCACCAGCATCACATCCTTTGAATTGCGGGTTTGTCCCGCGGGCTTGTCTAATGTGTCAAAAGCAGCCCGGTCCGAAGCTCTCATGCTGAAACTTGTTGCTCCTGGGTCAAGGGAAACTCGGTTCTCGAGAAGATTGATGGGCTCAGTAACCTGACGACGGTGGTCACGTACCTACGAGTCTGCGACAACGCCTTGTTGAACCTAATCGTCACTCAAGACAAGATGGCTGGGCTTGGCGACGCCGCGGCTCCCAAGTACTGCTTTGCAAGAAATTGCAGCGATTGTTGAAATTGTGATGAGGCGTGTCTTGTATGCAGAGCATCATTGTGTCAAAAGAATGACGTCACACCTTCCCGATGTCATGTCAATTGAATAATATGCGGGATGGGTCAGACCAAGCTGGATGATGCAAACTTTCTGGCCCGATACCGGACTCAACACAACAAAACGCTGGTACTAGCTGATGGTGGCAAGCAGGCTCAAAACACCAAAGATCAGCAAAAGGGCAGCTGAGGGCCCTGGCCAGCTGGCGCTGCTCTGCTCGCAGGTTGAAGTGATGTACAGCTGCTCCTCGGTGGTTTGCAAGGTCTGGGCCAAGCTTGATAATGAAACATCTACGACAGGGTCGCGAGCGCGGGTGAGGTGGGCGTATGATGGAATCTTGAGACCTTGGCTTGACACACCTACCCTTGACATATGAGTCCAAGGCGACGCATTCGTGTGCAGGTACAGCCACATGGAAGACCTCGCTCTGGCAATCTTCGGCATGCCCCGTCAGCCAGAGCTGTTGGCCTGAGCATTGCCCGGTCACCTTTGTGTAGAGATACTCTCCTTGGAGCCGACGTGGACAGTCAGCATCACCCTGACAGACGCTGTCAATACTGTCGCCGTAGAGGGCCATGGCGAGGCTCGAGGTGGTTGGACAGGCGGTCCGGAGCATCGTTGCTGTCAACTGGGCATCGTCAGAGCACGAGGCGTCATTGTGATAGGCGAGCGTGGCGGTGACGTTTTTAGGCAAGGCGGGCGCGCAAGCCATCAAGTGTTGCCCAAAGCAATGATCGGGTGGCAAAACAAATTCGTCGATGTGCTCCGTGCATTCTGCGTCATCATAGAGAGAGATGTGGGGCGCATAGCTGATAAAGCCTGGGCACGCATACTTGAAATACAGGCCGAAGAGCTCATGGCAGCCGTTTGGGGTATAGAATAAAAGTCCTGGGGACGGTGGAAAGTTTGGAGGGAGCGTCTCGTGTTCTGCGTGGCACACCTCGGTGGTGACGAGGAGGGCGCTGCGTGGACTCGCCGCGTCCGAGAGTAGGCCCAAGGCCGCAGTCATGATGCCTAGAAGCAGTTCATCGAGCAAGACGGGATAAGGTCAAAGGCGGTACTAGAACAAGTGGCGAGTCATGTGCAGGAGGAAGCCTGATACCGAGGAGCTTCACGGCTGCGCTGGGCTTTCGCGCCAAACAGGGAAAGCGAGCTGTATCCATAGTCTATTCACGATGCGCCAATGGAGTGCAGCTGAGACCATCATGTGTGTGCCGCAAGACCGATTGTACTCCTCCCCACGTCACCAACGCATCCTCACCCACAAGCACGCACAGGGGAGCATCAAGAGCGCAAGCGACAACAGAAGCGAGCGAGAGCAGTCCAAGAGCACACGCAGACGAGAGCCCGCACACGGACAAGATGAAAGGGGCGTGTCTACATACGATTCCAAAATAGCCTTCGGCAAGTTGCAGGAGCCAGCAAGTCGTAGCCAGCGGGTCGGGGAAATTCGCGGCCAGTCGGCACTCAGGTACTCAGGCTCTCAGGCACTCAGGCATTCAGGCACTCAAGGCTCTCAAGCTCTCAGGTACTCAAGCATTCAGGCTCTCAGGCATTTAGGCTCTCAGGCATGTAGGCTCTCAGGCTCTCAGGCACTCAAGCTCTCACGCTCCCGGGCACACAAGCACTCAAGCTCTCACGCTCCCAGGCTCTCAGGCATTCAGGCACTCAGGCATTCAGGCACTCAGGTACTTAAGCTCTCAGGCATTCAGGCATTCAGGCATTCAGGCATTCAGGGTCTACGGAGCGGCGGGGCAGGACCACATCGCATATAGGTTAAGCCTTTATATTAGTCAAGGCAGGATGTTGTCAGCAAAAGCGGGACATGAGGCCAGAGAAGCGGGAAGAAATGCGTGTTGATACAGAGAGAGGTGAGGGTGAAGAGTAGACATGTAGAGAGTGTGACTTGATGCTTTTTACACTTCCGAACCCTGTCAAGGCAAATCCAGAGATCGTTTGCCAGGATGGAACCTGCTTAGAGAAAGCGCAACCAGGCCGTTCAAATTTAGAGAGCGACGCAGTTTGGGTATAAAGGAAATCAACGTGACCGTTCGCAACAGTACTTTACAACTTGACAACAGTTGATTGGAACACCGGACGCCGGGTCGCGGCGATTTGGGCGGCGGGGTACGTGCATGTCAGGGTCGGGGCGTGTCGGCGAGGGAGGCGCTGGCGTGCCTGGGTTTGGGGCTGGTTATCTACATAATTGCATTGTTTTCAAATTTTTTCCTTGACTGGTGGCGTGGCTGTGAGGGATTTTGGATTGAGAACAAGAAGCGCTGTCTGATGTGTGGCGTGCTTGTATTTTTTTTTTTTTGGGGCTCGGGCGTTTAGCAACGAGCGATTTGCGCGATTCGGGATGGCGGGGTGGTGCATGCTCCTGTTGACGCTGGGCGTGGTCTGCGCGAGTGTTTCGGCCAGTCCTCCACCCATCATCGCGACCGATGACGAAGGCAACTTGTACATTAACACCTCTGGCTCGCAGGCGCGTGTTCTTCTCGATGGGCGTGATATTCTTCAGGAGATAGCGTCATTAAAGGAGAAGCTCGAAATGTTAGTGGGCACAACAGCGCTGACGATGACAACGACCATTCCGCAATACGTGTATACCGGGAATGTGGGTTGCGATCTGAGCGTCCTGCCACGGAATACAACCAGCATTGACGGAGACGTCTCCCTTTACAGCTGTTCCGGGCTCGTCACGGCCAATCTCTCCGTCTTTGAAAATGTTGCCACCATCACTGGCAATCTCCTGATTCGCGTAAGGCCCACACGTGTCTGCGTCTTACCTTGGCCCGGCCAGCTCTGCCGCAGCGGTCCTGGCTTGGAACTTCACTTTTTTTTTTTGTGCCTCCTCCCGATTCGATGCTTTAGGAAGACCGAGTCTTTACGAACGTTGATGGGTTTGCGAGCCTCGCCTCGATCGGCGGTTCTTTGACTATCTATGTACGCCGTTCTTCTTTGTGGCTTGTTTGCGCCCTGGCTACCAAGCCCACGCTCTGAGGTCGTCACAATCACACCGATTGTCTGCTATAGGCGGCAGATAAAATCACCAATCTTGACGGCTTTGCCAGCCTGACGTCCATCGGATCGTATCTGACCCTCTTTGTGCGTCTCTATTATGTGCGTGGATCCGCGTTATTGACAGCCGTGTTACATTGATAGTATTGTTCTTTTTTTTCTTTTTTTTTTTCTTTTTTTCTTTTGGCTGTCAGGATAACGAGGACCTAGCCAGCATCAGCGGCCTAGCCAACCTGCGGCACATTGGCACGCATTTGCAGATCCAAGTAAGGAAGGAATCGCCCGCTTGCTATCATAAGCCCTGGCCGAGTGTGAGTTTAAATTTGCTAGGCTCAACTCGCCGTATCCTCCTACGCCACACCTTGGTCTTTAGACTCACCCGGAGCTGGAATCTCTAACGGGGTTGGAAGGCCTGACAGTCATCAATGGGAATCTAAAGATTCAGGTAAGCTTGCGCAGCTGCAGGGTCTTTGCAGTCACCCCACACTTTGCGCACGCACTCTCACCGACTCGATGCCTGCTCTGCGCCAATGACGCTAGTACAACTCGGAGCTGGAGAATTTGGACGCCCTCTCCGGCCTCACGGCAGTGACGGGCAGCATCCTGATTTGCCGCAATGAGGATCTCGACGTCAACGCCATTACAACACAGTTTAGCCCCCTGAGCTCTTCGACCTGTGTCAACAACCAGCAATGCTACTGTTAGCGCCTTCCTGTTGTACACCCGCTAAGCAAACACATTTTCAATAATTGATCTGGTACAGCGCCTACGCTGGGTCGCCGTGTTTTGCCCGCTGAACTCTTTCTGCTGATGAGTACCACCCCGCTGACCCATGAGACCCCATTTGTACTCTGCCTCCCCCTCTTCACCCTGGCCCAGAAGCTCGCTCACTCACACACGCACACACACACACACACACACACACACACACACACACACACACACACACACACACACACACACACACACACACACACACACACACACAACACACATTTACCCCCACGCTCTTTTACAAACGAAATACACAGCACAACGTCCTTGGAGTCCTCTCTCTCTTGTGTGGGAGAGCCAACGTCATGGTTTTCCCATCGGGGAGCCAACCTTGCCCTTACTACTGGGCGAGGAGACGGACAGGGCAAGGCATTTACCACGTGTCTGTTGGCTCGGCTGGGATCGATCGTCACACCGTGTAGGGCTGTTTGGCTGCCCTCTGACCCCATCTCAGCGCGGACCCCGGTCGGCTGCCACTGTTGCTGCTGTTTCTCTTGACCCACCAACACGCCTCCTTTCTCTTGCCCCGCTCTCTTGACCGCGTTTAGCCTTGCCTTGATGTTGCCAGCATGTCAAACCAGAACGTGCGAGCCTCCAGTGGGGCCCGCGCAGAACCGAAGTGGCACGCCGACGGGGCTGGCACTGTCAGCGCAGACGCACCAGAGGCGGATTGCGTTGGGCGCCACCTTGTAACACATTCACCCGTGTCCGTGGGTCGCCTGTCCGAAAACGGTGTGGGTGGTGCCGAGACGCCTCTGGCTCTGGCCCAACGCCGCTACCGCGCCGAAATAGAACAAGACACCAAGCTTTGGGGCGCCAACAACAGCTCGTTCCCGACGCCAGACTTTGAGGGCAATGCCACCGAGCACCGGGGCGTCGTTCATACCATGCTCTTCATGGACACGACCATGAACCATCTTCACATTTTCAAGAGCTGGCGGACTCTGTGGCGCAACGTTGGCCGCTACTATAACGACCTCGACGTCTGGGGCGGCTGGTGCTTTGTGGTGGGCAGCATCCTCTTTACGCTGGGGCCCTGGCTTAGCAAGAACAAGCACGTCTCGGCAGATGGTTCCAGTATTATTCTCATGGTGGGCGTGGTGCTCTTTCTCTTTGCCAAAATCTTTGTCGAGCTCCGCGCCATCTACGCCACGCTTTGGGAACGCAAAACGCGTCGACCAGGCACAGCTTTTCACGTGAGCGTCATCTCCCTCACTGTGGGTGGCCTCTTCTTTCTAGCAACCACCATCCTCAGCCTCCGTGATGATCCGCGGAGCGCCTCGTGGTGCTCCTTCCTCTCTGCCGTTGGCTTTCTCTTTGGAACCTTTGTCTTTAGCATCGACTCAGCTGCTCAATTTTCCCGGCCCCTCTTTGCGCAGCTCAGCAATTTTTATTACTGGGGTGCGCTCGGCCTCTTCTTAGGCTCGGTCTTTTACATCTTCTCCACAACGTGTGACCTCAGCGGTGTTCGCGATTACGGCGCCGTCTCGACGGCGGCCAGCTTTGCCCCCCTGGAACTCTGCTCCGAGAGCATGGTGGCCTGGTTCAATATTCTGGGTGGCCTCCTTTACACTCTCGGCTCAGTCTTCTTCCTGGTGTTTGCCTACGACGAGCTGTACGAAGCACGACGCGGCCCGGATCCACGCTGCGTAGACCGCAACGGCATTCGCGCACCTCACCCGTTTCGCCCCCGCGAAGGAACCAAACACGAGCACCACGATCCACAGCCTGACCTCGAGCGCTTTCCCCAGCACCATGCCCATGCCACCCGCACCGTCACATGCGTCTAAGGCCCGTGATCATGGATCGAGCCACTTGCTCCAGTGAATCCCCCTCTGTTCCTCCCTTCTCGCCTTGCTAGTTAGGTTTTAGCTTGTAATTAATAATTCTGATGTCGATGCTCGCGGCCTCCGTGGAGCGGCCAGTGGAGCGGGTTCCCAACGACAATGACCGTTGGCCTAGCTTGACTTCTTAATTTTAATCATCAAATATTCATGACATCTCTAAATTGACGCTGTGAGCCCTGGGCCAGACAGGCCGTTTCCAACCCTAACAGCGGAGGCGTCCGACCGCACCAGTCAACAATGGCTCGTGCCGCGTTGAGTGCCGCCCTGCGTTTGGGTCGGGCCGTCCAGTCGACTCCAGAAACACTTTGTTCAACTTTCTTCTGGAAAATCACGTCCTCGGCCATAAAGCTCGTAATATCAGGCTTTCTCCCAGGAGGGCTATGCCCGGCATCAACATCAACTGGTCGCCCCTTGATTGGTACCCACGGGCTGAACCCCAAGTTGCTTTCGAAGCTCTCTTCGGGAGCAAGCGATCACCATTGGATCGGCACAGATTGCACGGCTTTTCCTCACGGCTCCGCCATTTGACCTCCATCCATGGCTTTTCTTGCCAGCGCCTTCCTGCTGCTTCTCCTTTCCCTGCTGCCCCGCTGCCCCGCTGCCCTGCTGCCCCGTTGCCCCTTTCCCTGCCCCCTTGGCCCCTGCCACTTGTCCCCTAACCCCCCATCCTCTGCTTCCCCCTTCAATTCACCTCTAACACACACCCTCACATGACCCCACTCTCTCAAGCACATGCTGACAATTTCACAAAGTGCGGACATGGTATTACCTAATCACAAATCCATCAACGTTTCCCGCTGAGTTTCCCATTCAAGAGCCCCCTTCGGAAGCAACACACATCACACATGACGCATCATCATTCCCCCCCTGGCACACACACACACACACACACACACACACACACACACACACACACACACACACACACACACACACACACACACACACACACACACACACACATGTGAGCAGAGCGGGCAGAGCGGGCGCTTCGTGCTGGGTGTTGTGTGTGCTTTGTGGCCCCGGTCCGCGGTTGAGAGGAAGAGGACATGGTGGGGTGGGAGCGGGAGCGGGGAGAAGGACAGGGATGATGGTGCCACCTGTCACTCCCTAGTGCCCTTGCACCGTTGCCTACCATTTTGGTGCTGGTTTTTGCAGCTGCACTCTGGGTCCGATTGTGGGATGAACGGTTTCAATGCGCACACCATCGCGTCGCGTGACCGACCGTGACTGACGCCGGATGCAAGGAGGTGTAATGCTTTGGAACCCATCAAAGGCCTCTCTCCCTCTGGTGCTTGTCCTCCCCACCTCAACTCTGACTGATGACCTCGTGTTCAATTTTCACAAAATTCATCGGGAGCAACCGCAAGAACTCGCTTGCCCCCTTTGTTGGGGGGAGGGGGGAGTAGGGGGCTCCACGGCCACGCTATCAGCGGGGGTACTGACCGCTTTGTACTCTTTTTTTCCTGACCCCACACGCCCATGCTCTCATGTTGTCACGCCACCCCCCCCCCGCTCCGCTTCGCTCCGTCCCCTCAAGTTCGGTTGGTGCCTCGACCAAACGGCTTGCACAAGACGCAGCTGCGTGATGGGGTTTGACGACGCCAAGCGGCTCGAAACGCCTCCACGCTTGCGCTCGTGCCCCCGACAATGCACCAGCCAACCCATGATCCCGTCCCGAGGCCCACGCTTGCTCATCATCTCCCGGATGCGCACAACCGCCACGGGCCAAGCATCTGCTTTATCCAAACAGCAAAGCCCAGGGAGTGGCATTTTCCACTGACCTCATCGGGCGCATCTCTGCGTCCCCTGACTGCCTTTTTCCCCCCACACGCCTTGACCAGTCTTAGAGCAGAGCTTGGGAGCACGGCATGAGTTGGCATCACCTTTGGCGGCGCGGCTGCAGCAGCAAGCCGTGCCGTCAAAAAGCCCACCCGGAGCGCAGCGAGACTACCTCTGCTTCTGCCCCGCAAGGTCCGCATTGACTCTGCAGCGAGAATTCTGTTCCTCATCGAAACGACGAAACTACACGTGGCTTGCAAACCGCCGCCATGCAGCCAACTCCGCCGTCCACCGACTCCACGCCCCGCTCTGCCGAGCACATCGTCTCTGTGCTCGGGCACGACCTCGATCAAACCATGATCGAGGAGACGAATACCTTTGAGCGCGGCTCTCCTGCATCTGCCCCAGCAGAGTGGCTCAACATTGATGCCCCAGTCCCACTTGCTCACACCACCACGGCCATCAACGCGTCGGTACCAGCCCTGGGCGACGCCGCAAACGAAGACTACGACAATCTCTCGGCCCACCCCAGCCAGCTGACCAGCCTACGCCAGACCTGGCGCGAAGCCCGCATGCGACGATTGATGCGCGAGGCCGACCTGTGGGGCTCCACGCTCGATCTGCCCCGACCCGACTTTGTCGGCAATGCTCATGCTCACAAGGGCGTCGTTCACACCATGCTCATCATGGGCCGGACCATGCGCCATCTCCGCGTCTTCAACAGCTGGCGGGGCCTCTGGCGCAGCGTGGGTCGATACTACAACGACCTGAACGTGTGGGGTGGTTGGCTTTTTGTGCTTGGAGGGCTGCTCTACTTTTTAGGCCCCCTATTGCTCATGCAAGAGGTCATTGATCACGATGGTGCCGTCTACGTCTCGGTGGCCGGCGTTGTTGCCTTTCTCCTGGCCAAGCTCTTTGTCGAAGCCCGCGCCATTTACTCTACCCTCTGGGACCGACCCAGTCGACGGCCCGGGTCGGCATACCACACGGGCGTTCTCTCACTCACATTGGGAGGGCTTTTCTTGCTTGCCTATGCAATTTTTTATCTGCAGCGCCACCCGGTCGCCGCCTCGTGGAACTGGTTTTGCTCCTGCGCTTGGTTTCTCATTGGCACCTTCATCTTCCTGGTGGACTCGGCCGACCACTTTCAGCGGCCCCTCTGGACCCGCATTGTCAACAGCTATTTCTGGGGTTCACTGGCGCTTTTTATTGGCTCCGTCTTTTACATGATTTCGGGGACTTGCAACTTGAACGGCATTCGCGATTTGCAAGCCCCCATCCAAGGCGATCCTTTTGCTCGACGGGATGTCTGCTCCGAGTCGCTCGTGATTTGGTTTGACTTGCTCGGCGGTTTCTTCTATTTTGTCGGCGCCATCCTCTTCCTAGTCTTTGCCTACGGTGAGCTGTGGGATGCTGAGCAGGGCGTGGACCCCCGCTGCATCACCCGGTCAGGCGAGGGCGCGCCGCACCCCTTCCGCCCCCGCGAGGGGACGAGCGGTGAGCCCGCCGATCCCCAGCCGGACACGGAACGCTTCGTGCCTGTGTCTGCCGCTGCCGAAGCTGGTCTGATCGGCACCAAGCGTCTCGTCACCTGCGTGTAAAGCTTCAAGCCATTTCCTGTGAAGATTATTCATCTTCCCCATCTCTGCTCTTGATTTCTCTTGTTTTTTGCTTTTGCTGTTGCTTTTCCTCTTTTGCCAGGAGAGCTGTTGTTGCTTTACTGCTGTACTTTGTTTTTCCCGGGCACGTTGCTCAATTCCCTTATCATTTGAAACACGAAAAAAAAAAAAAAAATGCTCATTGTGAGAGTGTGCTGTCTCGACCACTCCTTGTCCAATCGATTTCAACAGGATTGATCCTTTTCTTTTCTTTTCTTTTTGTCCTACCCGAACCACCTGGGTGCAGATCCTCTTTGCCTTGGAGAGAGAAATGGTCCATTAAAAAGGGCATCAACATGCATGATAACAAAATAGAAATGCGCCATGACGAGCTTATGCGGCGACAAACAGTAGAGGTAAACACAAGAGGGCCACGAGCAGGATGTGTGGCAGGGCGGCAAGCGGGGCAGTCGCGGACGATGTGGTTGTTGTCGAGGTCGTGGTGGTCGTTGATGCTGCGGCAGAATCGATGCAAAAGAAGGAGAGGGAGCCGAGTCCAGCTCGGACAAATTGATTGAAGCTCGAGGTGCTCACTGTGGCAGTTGCAAAGCGTGAGCCCGAGGCCGCTTGTCAAGACACAGGTTGAGCGTGAGGCGAAAGAGAAACTCAATGACAAGTCGAGACTCACCAGTGAGATTGGTGCCAACGTCCAGGCACGCTGCTTCGGAAACTGTGAGGTTGTGCTTGATGGAGGCGCAGTCCTCTGTGTAAAAGAGTACGTTGATCAAGCCGTCGGCATGGCAGGTGGCGACAATGCGCAAATAGCCGAGGTCGGACTGGAACGAGGCCATGCAACCGGCATCGCCGTTGCAAAGCTCGGAAGCATTGACGCCGCCGCTCAGTGCCACCGCCAGGGACGGGGCGGCTGCGCAGCTGTCGCGGAGGGGTACGTAGGTGATGACATCATCGCCACAGTTTTCAGAGGTGTAGGCGCCCATAAAGGCCGTGGTACTGGTGGGTGTGGCATCGGAGCAGGTGATGCGAGAGTTTTCATCCACTTGTGTAAAGCAATTGTCGGTGAGAATTGTGGAGACGTAGGTGCCGCCGCAGTTGGTATCCATATACTCTCTGGCAATGGGGTACCCATTCTCATCACAGCCAAACGTGTAGTGGCCATTGGCAACCTCGTAGCACTCGTCAACCAGAAACGCGGCCCCCGCTTGATCAATGGAGGTGGCATTGTCACAAGAGCCACCCAGATAGAGGGTGCTGGGCGTGGACGGAGGTTGCTCGGTGGGGGCCGAGTCGAGGCAAGTAAAAGAGAAGGAAAGTAGCTCGGCGGCCACATACTGATTAAAAAACGCGGTGTTTCCTGACATGTGGGCACACAGGCAAAGGGGGCGCAGGGTCAGCAAGGACGCGAAAACAACATGAAAAAGAGTGCCGGACAGCAGGTGGGGGGGGGGGGGGGGGGGGAGCTCGAACGAACCACCGGTGTAGTTTACGCCAATGGTGAGGCAGGCTCCCGGAGACACGCGGGCATGATAGTAGCCCTCGTCACACTGATCGCTAAAGATCTCGACCAGGATGGTATTATCAGAATAGCAGGTCGCCATCATATGGCCATATCCCAGGCTATCATGGAAAAATCTTAGACAGCCATCATCATCGTCGCAAGCGTCGGCACTGGTCGCGCCCGAGCCAATGGCAAAGGCCGGGGTCACGGCGTTGGCGCAGGTGTCGCGAATGGCAAGGTCCGCAATCTTGCCAGCCGAGCAGTCAACCGCCTCAAAGGCGGACATGACGGCCCTTGTGTTTGTGGGAAAAACGCTGGCCTCGGCACACATGACATGGGCGTTTCGGCTGCCGTAGGTGAAGCAGCCAGAGGAGAGGTTGACAAAGGTGCCGGTGGTGCATTGGTAGTCGCTCCATTTGTACGCCTCGGGCACGCCGCTGTCCGAGCAAGCAAAGGAGTAGAAGCCACCCATAACGCTGTAGCATGTGGTGTTTGCGTCAAAGATCAGCAAGGCATCGTCCACGGTGACGTTGGCGTCCTCGCATGAGCCGCCCATGTACACCACCATTTCCGCGCGGCTCCCCGTGCCTGTGCACCGTGGTAAATGAGAACGGGACGCTGCATCACGATCCCAATGCACCAAAGGAGCCTCGAGGATACAGCACAACCAGCTTACTAGCGAGCACAAGGGCCATTGCCACTGCCAGACCCAAAGAGAACCGGTGACGCGGCCACATCCCTACGCCTATCAACCAGATCAGCTTACCATCGTGTTCGAAGCAGCAATCCCTCTCGATCCACCATCGTCCATATCCCCCATCGTCCAACCACAGCTACCACAGCAATCACCCGCCTCCCCCGCCTCCCTAGCCCTCCTCCCCCAACCACCGCCACCAACGATCAAGCGCCATCGCCACATACCTCTCCACATCAGCTGGGTCATCATGTCCTCTTCTTCCAGCCAGGCCCTTGCCGGTTTAAATTTTAAAAAAAAAGGGATTGATTGAAAATTATTTTCCTCTCTCTCTGACTCCAAACTGTCCTTCAACACAGCTGCCGTATAGAGGATCAACCTTGACCGTGTGCTACTTTAACTCTATTAACCCCTTTAAAACCATCTTAGGGTGTGCTATTCTCTGCACCCTTGTGTGATGTCGTGGGCTGTCCTCTGGCTGTTGTTGTTAAGTGCACGTCATTGGTGTCCGATCGTTTGTGATCAAGCATAAGGGGCGTGCGCTTCTTGAATGTAAACTATGTGAAGATAGAGAAGCTTGCTTCAATCTGGCTCACATGTGGTACAATTACAAAAATCTCTTCTCTCAAGTCTCCATTCACTCAATCTCTTCTCTCACTCCCTCTTCTAAACTCCTCTCAATCTCTCTCAATCTCTCAACAAAACCTCTCAACAAAACCTCTCAAACTCTCTCAATCTCTCTCAACAAAACCTTTCCTCTGGTGCAATATGGCAGCCGGCATCGAGAAGGAGAACACCTGCGAGTGTCAAGCGACCCACCGCTTTGCAATCAGATCCTCGGAGACACACACACGCCCCTCTGAGACGGTGCGAGCGCACACACCAAACACACTTACAGAGGCACAATCCAACCTGACGTCCACTCCCTTGACAGGCAGTAGGTCCAAAGGCTATCCTATCCGCCCCCTTTTAGTCAACCTCTGAGAGCATGCTGTATTTTCACCTCAGTCTCTGAATTTTGTCTTCAACCCGCATCATTTCTCTTTTTTGGCTACGTTTCTCCTCCTTGACCGAACTCAATCCAAGCTCTCTCTCTGATTTGCTTTACTCGTTCTCCCCACTCTCTGAATAAATCCCCACCCTAACTCCCCATCTCTGCATGTCGATGGTGATATCGCCCAATTATCATCAACCCGCTGATCCCCGTCACTCCCGGCACTTGTCGCGCGACGCACGACGCCTCCCCCTCGTGCGTCGCTGCCGCCTGCCCTGCCTCACCTCTCCCTTCTTCACGCACATCCGCTCTTCCTCTCTTCCTCGCCTTTCACTCCCTCTCACGGCATCGCATCACACATCTCTCCACTCTGCTCCCATCGCTTTGCACATGAGCAGCCGGACAAGGGCGGCGTGTCGAGAGGCCTTCCAGTCATCTGCGAACCGCCTGCGCACTCCAACGTCACTCCTCCTTGCACCCACCGAAGCCACCGCCTCCACGCCACCTGCGCCCGTTTGGTTCCACCTTCGGCTCTCTGTCTTCTTCATCACTGGCCCAACACATGCCATGCCGAAACTTCTTCGTTTGCTCACGGTTGCGGCCCTGCTCTGCGTGCGCCCTTTTGTCTTCACCAACGCTGCCAACACCCCGCCCAGCGATCAGTTTCGCTTCAGCCTCGATGAGAGCGGCAACCTTCATATCAATGGCACCGTCTCCCCGCCTGGCAAGATCCTGCTCAATGGCGTCGATGTGCTCGCTCAGCTCGCCGCCTTGTCCGCATATGCCAACAACACCACCCACACCCTTGCCGCCCTGCAGACCCAAGTCAATGCACAAGCCCAGCAGCTTGCTCAACTCATGCCAACGCCGATTACTGCCACCACTGCATGTGTTATTGGGGGCTACGATTCCACGACCAACCTCTCCTCCGTCCGTTGCACTGATGGCCAAACATGGAGAGACGGCCCATCCTTACCCCACCCCCGGTGGCGCGCCGCTGCTGTAACCCACAATGACCGCATCGTCCTCCTCGGTGGCCTCACTCCCCAACAAGACTCCAGTCACACCCCCACTCTTGTGCTTGCTTCCCGCACCGGTGGATGGACGACCGGCTTGGTACCCGATCTGCCGCAACAACGGTACGATTTCGCCGCCGCCGTCTTGGCAGAACGCATCTGGGTTGTTGGGGGCCGCATCAGTGGCGTGCCCACCGCCACCGTCCTCTCGTGGGGCCCAGGCGAGGCAAATTGGCGCTCCGAACCCTCGCTGCTCCAACCTTTGTTCGGGCACATGACCGTGGCTCACAACAACACACTGTTCGTCATTGGCGGCTACAACCACGACCACGCCGCTTCCCGCCAAGTCCTCACACGCCCGCCCTTACCGACTGGGGCCCCATGGTCCTTGGGCCCGAGCCTTAACACTTCTCGCGCATTTGGAGCAGCTGCAGTATTTGATAACACCGTCTTCGTCCTGGGAGGCGAAAATCATATCCAAACCCTCGCTGGCTCCTTTGAACAACTCACCCCCGTGGGCTGGTCCCTGTTCTCCTACGAGTTTTCATCCGTTGGACTTACCCACTTTGGTGCCGCTGCTATCCAAGGCAGCCTTTGGATTTTCTTTGGCATCAGTCATTTTCCAGGCATCAACATCATCGGGGGCGAAACCGCCGTGCTTGACCTTGCTGGTGGGGTTTGGCGGAATTTGGGACCCACGGATGACTCCCGAGCTGGTTTTGCGCTAGCCACAACAACATGGTAATCGCCTCTCCTCCGAGTCCCCGGCATTCACCTCGGTTTCGAATGCTCACTTGACGTTGTTATTCAATTGACGATGCAAACCATTTGATCAACTAACATGAGGATTGATTTGTTTGAACAACCATTCTCCAAATGAACAACTAAGTCCTTTTGGCTCGCTGCGTGCGTTTGGGGCGACCCGTCTTGAGCTTGCGCTGGGGCGGTGGTCGCACACTCCCAGCAACGCCTTGTGGCACGTGTGCGGCCGCTGCCGCGGCCTGCAGTGCCTCCTTGTCTTGATGAAGCAGCTTCTCCAACATCAGGAACAGCGAGTGCACATGCTCAAGCAGGAGATCCCCCGGCAGCCGCTCATCAATATCCTCGGAAAACTCCTAACAATCAGAGCAGGGCAGCCATGGTAGCACACATGAGTCCGATTCTTGTGTCAGGGTCCCTGCCAACATCAGCCCCGCTGCTGGATATCTCACACTAGCCATGCCACGCCAGAACATACCTTGAAAGAACCAAGCGGAAAGCGCCAAGCGTAATTCAACATTTGGCCAAGCGGAAACGCCCCGGGATACGAGGCTTGGTCGTTGTGACGTAAATAACGGACGACAAGTTGTCGCAGTGCATTCAATAACAACCGGGGCGGCAGCTGATCTCGGCCAGTTTGCGGATGTTGCCCCGTACCTAGACATTTCCTCACCTCCTGTGCCAGCGTGTCCGACAGGGTCTGCTTGTACGCGTCGGCTAGATCAGCCACCAACGTGTCGGCCAGCAAATGTTCCATGGCTTCATAGAGCGCCTGCAGGTAGCACAGATCGATTGCCTGGAAGCGCGCGAGCTGCAGCACTTCCAATTCGGGCGCGTCTTTCCGCCGTTCCTCCAAAAAGTCGCCAATTGTACCGCGAGCCCGGCCACGGCTCACGGCAAACATGAGCACGCCAAGTGCTGTAAGAAGGCCGTCGACGTGGCGCTGGTGCAGCTCATAGTCGCGTTCCATCTGCTGCTCCAAGTCTGTGCTCAGCGGCCTTTGTGCCACCCGATTCTGCACATTCCGAAAAGCGTTCGTCAGATCTTGAGAGGAGTCCCGCTGATACATGAATCGAGGCATGGTTGTCATATCAAGCATGCTGCGCCCGTCTACGCTGTTGAGGGCCACGTTTTCTTCAATCAACGTGCCAAAATACGTAATTTGTTGTCCCCCGCCTTGCTCCAGCCTCGATGTACTCAAATCCAAAAACTCCTCGTGCCACGTCATGTCCACCAAGTCCTGATGCCGAATCGTGTGCATGCTTTTCAGGGCAGCTCGCTGAAAAGCGAAATAATTTTGCCGCGGGGCCTGATGCTGCAACGCCAAAACCCGCTGTAAGGTAACATTGTGGGTGTTTGTCAAAAGCAGCGTAAATGTCCACAGGTGATCCACCGATGCGTTCTCGACGGGTAGCATCAGTTGCAAGCTGACACGGTCCATTGCAATGTCTTGCACCGCTTCGAGCTGCTTACACACCCTGCGGATCTCCCCATCGTCGCTGAGGCTATGCGACTGAATGTCTCCGCCCAGCTTCAGTAGTTGACGTAGCGCGTCCATGGCAAGGCATAAAACGGATCCCTCCTCCAGCAATGCTGGCTCCCGAGCCGCAAAAAACTCTGCCACTGTCTGTTGCTCCGCCTCCTCCCGCGAGACAAGGCCTGCATACCGGTCACACACATACTGGCACCAGTTGTTCAAGTCGGGCAACAGAGATAGGTGCTGCAGCAGCTGGTTTTGCCGTTCTTCTTCAAACAGTGCCAGAAACGGGTGCTTGTCGGCCAAATTTGGCGTCGCCCTCAGCCATGTGAAAAAGTTGTCCATGGATCGTGGGCCCACTACGCGTCGAGCCAAAAGTCCAGCCGCTGCTGTCAAATCATTGTTGCGCACCTCCTCCCGCATTTCCAATACTGCCCGTAGCGGATGAAGAGGTTGTTCCTGGGCGTGTGCCTCTGCTTCCACGCGAAAGTTCTCGAGCACTGTTGCTGGCACTGTTGCTGGCTGGCGCCAGAGAGGGCCAAGTGCAGCCTCAATGGCCCTCTCCCACTCCATTCTTGTCTCGACCTGATCCAAGACCGCCAGCTGGGCCACTTCCACGTCTCTTAGACGATATATTGCTTCCACCATGACAGCAAACACTTGCTCATCCGAGAGCTCACCCAGTAGCATGCCCAGATTATCCCATGCCAGCCGCACTCGAGCAGCGCAAATATCGTGCGCCTGCTCGATTGATGGACAGTGCATCAGTGCTCGGACCGCCTCGCCTTGTCCCAGCAGAGTAATGGCTTGCAGCAACGTTGAGTGCATCAGGGCGTCAAGCGTTCGCATCGTCTGCAAGGACAACTGACGCACGCCGTGTCGCAGAAGCTGAGTTCCGAGTTGCGCTGGATAACCGCGCACATCCTTCTGCGCCTCTGCTGCGTCCGGCCCTACGGGTGCAGCATCGAGCCGGGTTTGGCCTGCATTGGCATGGTAGTTGTTTCCGCCCAGCGTTCGCGGACACTGGGGACATCGACGTTCTTCTCGCACGCCACCACAATTCATAACCAGATATTGGTAGCCGCAGTCACACTGATACCGCGTTGCAGCTTCCCCTAGGCCCCGTAGCACGTCGGCAAAGCAACTTTCTCCAGCACCTGGAAAGAAACTATTCTCAAGGCTGGCAGGGTCGAGGTACAAAGATCGAAACCAGGTACCCACAGCCCCCAGGTGATGGCTTGCCAAATGTGCGTGCGCGAAGGTCATCCACGATAGGCGGAGGCCATCGACTTTAGGCGTCGTCATGTCCACGTAGGGGTTTTGATCCCGGGGCAGGCCGAAATGTGCACGACCTTCCAGCAGGGCGCGCTGCAGTGGAGTAAATTTCTCACGATATTCTCCCAGCACCACCCGCAAACGCTGCCGCCGGGCCTCTGTTCCCTCGGATAGACATGGCACGTACAGCTGGTGCCATAGGGCACCGTACAGCAAAAGCCCCGCCCGATTCGTCGCGTCGTTACCAGTCGGGCCCGTGGCGTCCTTGAGCAGTGCTTGAAAAGCGCCATCATCTGGGCTGGCCTGCAGGGTGGCCACAGCCTGCACGGCGCCATTGTGTCCAGGGACGCGCAGAAAGGGATCAAATGGGATGCTTTGGATTGCCAGATCAGCCGACGCCGCGCGTCGCTCCACGCGCGGTAAGTCAGCACACGTTTGAGCCCAGAGTAGGGTCTCTGCCATGCCGTGACGCGCATGTTTGAGTCGCAGTAAGTGGTCCACAAACAAGGGCGAGCGTGACGCCTCGATAATGGCGTTGATCCCTTGCTTGGCTTCCGAGGCGGTCAAAAGAGCCACGTGGTCCGGGGCATCCTCGGCCTCCATGGACTCGAGCGCAAGCTCAAAAAAGGCCGTCACGCGAGCCAGCGATAGCATTTGCCCAACGATCTCCTGTTCGTCAAAGTGTCGCGCGGCCTTGCATGCACTTGCTGCCAGATCGCGTGTGAAGAATTGAGCCGCTGCTCTATCATCAAACTCATCGGCCCCAGCATCCTCATCGTCGTCGCTCAAGCTGTCATCAATCTCATCAGCATAGTCAAAGATGGCCTCGGTGGGGCCCTTGCGCAAGCGTGACAGCACGAGTTCACACATGCACGCAAGAATTTTAGCTTTGCCATCATCGCCGTCCGTCGTGATTTCAGCGTTGAGCAGTTGGGCCAGCACCGCACCGACTCGCCCTGCAGGCACTGTCAGCCAGTCCCGTGACGAGAGCGCACTTGCTTCTTCGTCGTGACTGCTTTGACGCAAAAGCGCGTGCTCGTCATCGAGAAGCGCTGCCACAATTGCATAAGCAAACCCAATGCCATGCGGAGACAGTAAAAAGGCTGCCATTGTACTTAGATCGGTGTGTTTGTGCACGGCCTGCAGGAAGTGAAAAATGACTGCAGGATGGTCTCCTGTCAAGGACCAAGTTGGCCACAGCTACAGCGCGGACCGCAGCTTTGACCAGGTCGAGGCGGATCTGCTCGCCGCCTTCAACGCCCTCGACAGCAAGACTGTTGCCGCCCTGCATTGACCACTCCTTCAAAATGCTACGACAACTGGCTACCCACTTCAACATGCAGACGACACGGACACCGACTCTGGCTCAGACAGTGACGCCGAGGGCGAATGAACGTTGAATAGCAACGGCAGCAAAGACGACCGTTCTAATAACCGCCCTCCATCACCGCCCGCCGCCCGCACTTCCATAGCAATCTTCCTCCCATAAGATGCCCTGTTCCATCCGATCAATTTTTGACTTAGGGACCCCCAAAAGAACATTGAGAAGGCGAAGCCAAAGCCATTGATGTTGATGACGCTTTGATCTCTTTGATCTCTCTCTCTCTCTCTCTCTCTCTCTCTCTCTCTCTCTCTGGTAGTTGTGCTTTTCCTTTGTGTCTTGCTCT